ATTTAAATTCAATTAATCATATTACTTAAGAACTCCCACTTAGATAGACATCCCTCTAATCATCTAAGTGATCACGTGATCCAAATCAACTAAACCATAACCGATCATCACGTGAAATGGAGTAGTTTTCAATGATGAACATCACTATGTTGATCATATCTACTATATGATTCACTCTCGACCTTTCGGTCTCAGTGTTCCGAGGCCATATCTGCATATGCTAGGCTCGTCAAGTTTAACCTGAGTATTCTGCATGTGCAAAACTGGTTTGCACCCGTTGTAGATGGACGTAGAGCTTATCACACCCGATCATCACGTGGTGTCTAGGCACGACGAACTTTGGCAACGGTGCATACTCAGGGAGAACACTTTTATCTTGAAATTTAGTGAGAGATCATCTTATAATGCTACCGTCAACCAAAGCAAGATAAGATGCATAAAAGATAAACATCACATGCAATCAATATAAGTGATATGATATGGCCATCATGATCTTGTGCTTGTGATCTCCATCTCCGAAGCACCGCCATGATCACCATCGTCACCGACGCGACACCTTGATCTCCATCGTAGCATCGTTGTCGTCTCGCCAACTATTGCTTGTATGACTATCGCTACCGCTTAGTGATAAAGTAAAGCAATTATAGGGCGATTCATTGCATACAATAAAGCGACAACCATATGGCCCCTGCCAGTTGCCGATAATTTGGTTACAAAACATGATCATCTCATACAATAAAATATAGCATCATGCCTTGACCATATCACATCACAACATGCCCTGCAAAAACAAGTTAGACGTCCTCTACTTTGTTGTTGCAAGTTTTACGTGGCTGCTATGGGCTGAGCAAAAACCGTTCTTACCTACGCATCAAAACCACAACGATAGTTCGTCAAGTTAGTGCTATTTTAACCTTCTCAAGGACCGGGTATAGCCACACTCGGTTCAACTAAAGTTAGAGAAACTGACACCTGCTAGTAACCTGTGTGCAAAGCACGGTGGTAAAACCAGTCTCGCATGAGCGTACACGTAATGTCGGTCCGGGCCGCTTCATCCAACAATACCGCCGAACCAAAGTATGACATGCTGGTAAGTAGTATGACTTGTATCGCCCACAACTCACTTGTGTTCTACTCGTGCATATAACATCTACGCATAAAACCTGGCTCGGATGCCACTGTTGGGGAACGTAGTAATTTCAAAAAAATTCCTACGCACATGCAAGATCATGGTGATGCATAGCAACGAGAGGGGGGAGTGTGTCCACGTACCCTCGTAGACTGAAAGCGGAAGCGTTAGCACAACGTGGTTGATGTAGTCATACGTCTTCACGATCCGACCGATCAAGTACCGAACACACGGCACCTCCAAGTTTAGCACACGTTCAGCTCGATGACGTCCCTCGAACTCTGATCCAGCCGAGCTTTGAGGGAGAGTTCCATGAGCATGACGGCGTGGTGACGATGATGATGTTCTACCGACGGAGGGGGGCACCGCACACGGCTAAGAGATCCAAGGGATCAATTGTTGTGTCTCCAAGGGGTGCCTCCCTCCCCGTATGTAAAGAAGTGGAGGAGGGGGAGGGGGACGGCCACCCTAGGCGCACCCCATGAGGAGTCCTACTCCCACCGGGAGTAGGACTACTCCCTTCCAAGTGGGAGTAGGAGAGGAGAGGGAAGAAGAGAGAGGGGAAAAGGAAAGGGGGGCGCCGCCCCCCTCCTTGTCCAATTCAGACTGGGGGGAAGGGGGCATGCGGCTGCCCTTGGCCGCCCCTCCTCTTCTCCACTAGGGCCCAATAGGCCCATTAGTCTCCCCGGGGGGTTCCGGTAACCCCCCGGTACTCCGGTATATGCCCGATACTCCCCGAAACCATTCCGGGGTCCGAACATTGTCGTCCAATATATCAATCTTTATGTCTCGACCATTTTGAGACTCGTCGTCATGTCCGTGATCACATCTGGGACTCCGAACTACCTTCGGTACATCAAAACACATAAACTCATAATATAACCGTCATCGAACTTTAAGCATGCGGACCCTATGGGTTCGAGAACTATGTAGACATGACCGAGACACGTCTCCGGTCAATAACCAATAGCGGAACCTGGATGCTCATATTGGCTCCCACATATTCTTCGAAGATCTTTATCGGTCAAACCGCATAACAACATACGTTGTTCCCTTTGTCATCGGTATGTTACTTGCCTGAGATTCGATCGTCGGTATCTCAATACCTAGTTCAATCTCATTACCGGCAAGTCTCTTTACTCGTTATGTAATGCATCATCCCGTAACTAACTCATTAGTCACATTGCTTGCAAGGCTTATAGTGATGTGCATTACCGAGAGGGCCCAGAGATACCTCTCCGACAATCGGAGTGACAAATCCTAATCTCGAAATATGTCAACTCAACAAGTACCTTCGGAGACACCTGTAGAGCACCTTTATATCACCCAGTTACGTTGTGACGTTTGATAGCACACAAAGTGTTACTCCGGTAAGCGGGAGTTACATAATCTCATAGTTATAGAAACATGTATAAGTCATGAAGAAAGCAATAACAACATACTAAACGATCAAGTGCTAAGCTAAGGAAATGGGTCAAGTCAATCACATCATTTTCCTAATGATGTGATCCCACTGATCAAATGATAACTCATATCCATGGTTAGAAACTCAACCATCTTTGATCAATGAGCTAGTCAAGTAGAGGCATACTAGTGACACTATGTTTTTCTATGTATTCACACATGTATTATGTTTCCGCGTAATACAATTCTAGCATGAATAATAAACATTTATCATGATATGAGGAAATAAATAATAACTTTATTATTGCCTCTAGGGCATATTTCCTTCAATATAGGAGAAATCGTTGCTCACCACATTAATATATGAGCATGTCAAAACATTCAAGTTAACCCCGAAAATTAGTTGATGCTTCTAGTATTTTTAGTGCACTTATATGTGTACTCTCATATAGTGTTCTTAAATATCTACACAACTTGGTCAAGAGTGTTAGATTTATGAATCTTACAAATGATTCTGAGAGGTTTCTAGAGTATAGAACTACCTTATTTTGGTGTGAAATAAATAACTCTTACTGTATGAGGTGACAACAAGCAATTTCTCCTCGAACTCTCTCTGCCACTCTCGCTTGTTGATAGTGTGTTGGTTTCTTGGTCAACATAGTTCTTTCTTCACATGCATCAAGTAGTTGGTATTGAGAGCCCCGCAATATTGCTTGTAACACGCATGTGTATTCTGAACATAAACTTATTCATGTTGTCATGTTGCTTGTTTAATTATGTATATTTTTGTGCACAAAACAACTAATGTAAGTTGTCTAAATTATGTACCCAGTGCGGAGATACAAGCAAGTTAACCCCTCTCAAATTAGCTTGGAACCGAGCTTCTAATATAGGCTGATATGACCCAAAATCTGAACATTATCATTTCAAAAGTTCATTTTCACAGAAATCAATCCCATGTATCGACCGACATTGCTCTTGTTTGACACGATATCTCCACATATATGTAAATGGAATTGACTCTTTTCTTTCTAAAACATTGTAAATGATATTATACATTTATGAGTTCATCAAGCTATCAAATTTATGCATGTTTATTTTGTAAGGACACTTGTCTAATTCTAATATTACATTAAGGATTGCATGTTTTTTTCTTTCTTTCCAGATCAGAGCTAGTCAAAACACATGGAATCACTTTTTTTGTGCTCAAGCACTTTTATTTTCCATTTATTTGTTTTAATGAGGGACTGTATGGACAAGAATAATGAGGGGCTTTGATCTGATCGACGATGAGAGAGTGAGATGGTTGGACGCTCTCGAATATACAATTGTTTCAGACACAATTGTTCAGTGTTTCTAGATGGTCCAAGCCGGAAGGTGCGATGAGAGAGCACACACACTTCCGCATGCTGGCCGGTGATGCGTGACAGACAGTAGTCCACCGGCCAAAAAAACCAGTGGTGCCATCGGGTGGTGCAATGGTGAGGCGGCACCAAGAGGAGATCTCGTGCCAGACAATGCGAGAGGTGACACATCCAGAGAGGAGGTGGTCGATGGTCTCGTTCTCTTGGTCAAAAAGGGAGAGTGGAGAAGTGGAGGGGAGCCGGGGAACATGGCGGACTCTCTCGCTTATGCACGCCCAACATCAATACCTAAAGCACTAAAGCGGCTTCCAGGTGACTTAAACCCTGTGTTTTATGTTTACTTCTATATATGTATTTTAAACCCCTTTCATAATAAATTAGTAGAATAGTCCATCTATTTTTTTGTAAGTTTAAATTTCATGAATTTGAAAGTTTGGAAAAGTTGAAGTTGAATTTCGGAAAAATATTCCTTTGAGCCAGATCTGGCCAGTAGCCCAGTAGCCCAGTAGGTAGCCCAGTAGCCCACAACTACTCGTACACCTTCTCGCACACAGCTCTGACCTCTTCCTCTTCCCCTTCTCTGGTCCTTCACAGGCGGCGACCCTCGTTCGCCGGCGGCGAGCCATCTCCTTCACCGCCGACGGGAAACAAGCTGCGCTGTGAGTCCTCCGTCCTGCGCCTCCTCTACCCGGCCCTCGTTATTCTCCTACGCTCCTACGTATGGTTGTGCTCAAGGCCTTGCCATATTCTTTATTTCAGATCTGAGCTTATTTCCTCCTCCCCGCTAGACCTCTCCCGCCATGTAGCAACTGCCTTCTCCTAGTGCAGATCACTAGACCGCAGTCCTGCCTGCAGGTGTGATATTTTCTTCCCCATAAGAAACGACTAAATATCTTATGAGTACCTTGTCCAAATAATTTGCTAAAAAAACTTCAGTGAATTTTATTCTATGTGTTCCCTATGAGTTTAGGTTAAAACTGTTAAAACTACTAAGCTGCATCTTATTCTTTTGCAAAATAAGTTTGTGTAGCTAAACTATTTTGTCTTTTTAAGTGTCTTTGTTTCCTTTTTTCCTTTCAGTGGCAGTAAGTTAACATAAAGACATGGACCTTCACAAGGAAGTCACTGCTGCTAGGTTAACCGATGATCTAGTAGTCGATATCCTCTCTCGGCTGACGTACAAGTCTTTCTGCCGCTGCAAATGTGCCTATAAGGCCTGGTCCGCCTTCTCTGCTGATCCAGACTACTGCAAGAAGCTGCCCAAAAAAGTAACCACTGGCCTTTTGTACCAAGGCCACAATAAGTCTGCAATCCCGCTTGTTAGCCTGTCCCAAGATGATGGAGAAATCGATGGAATTCTTTCTGACGTGCCACAATATGAGCATTTAGAATTTCTTGACTGCTGCAATGGTCTTGTTCTCTGTAAGTACAGGAGCAGCTATACCTCTCCAGGCATTTGTCGCTTTGTTGTGTGCAACCCAGCAACACGAGAGTGGAGGATACTTCCTGACACTCATGTTGGAACTGATAGCCGTCGTGATGCAACTATTTTGGCATTTGATCCTTCATGGTCACCACACTTCTATGTCTTCAACTTTAATCAGCATTACCACAGTCCGATGAGCAAACTTGAGATCTTTTCTGATGGGTCCATGTGGCTTGTGGATGATAAATGGGATTCTTATGTAAGTGTTTGTTGGAGATCTCACTTATTTCTTGATGGAGTGTTGTATGCGGAGACTACTGGACAAGACGTTTTGGTGTTTGGAGCCTTGAAGTTAATGCGTGATGGCAAACTTCCCTATCATCAGATCATTGAGAAGCCATCTGACACTTTTTATGTGGGTACTTTTACCCATGGTTGCTTTGGCAAATCTTTAGGGAACTTACACTATGCGATGCCAGATGTGAGTGGTCACTCAATCGTGATTTGGACTCTAGATGAATATGCTCATGATTGGTATGTGAAGTGTCATATTAGTATGACAGATGCATTTGGAAGGGATGACTTTGTTTACTATGACAATGGTGGCGATGGTGGTGACCTCCACTGGTTTTGGAACTGTGATTACTGGATTCTTGCTCTCAATTTGGAGAGAGACCTTGTTTTCCTCTCTGACCAGAAGACAAATAAGCTTCTTTCTTACAACATCAGCACCAGGGAACTCAATGAGATACGAGACCACTTTGAGTGGTTTCAATACCATGTCTATGTACCATGCTACTCAAAACTTCCAGCTCAAGAATCTTCTGTGTAGTGAATGACGTCTTCTTTTCTGTATGCCAGCAGGACCAATCCCTGTTTTATATGCTGAACCACCTTGTAAATTACTATGTTAGTCGGTGTTATAATGTGTGTCCAGGCCAAGAAACTTAAACTTTTTATTTCGTTGGGATGCCAGGTTTTTCTATTAACCTAAAATGTTACCAGCTTACTACCTTGTTTAAGTTCAGTATATGTAAGATTACATTGTCTTTTCTTATGCTCCATTTGTCGTTGTGGTGGTTTTTCATAAGCACTTCTACTTCTGTTTGTGGATGTAAAGATCTGTTTCTTAGATATGATCAACAGATATTGTTAACACTTGAATTAGCATTACAACCCTACATTACACCTCGACCTTTTCTTTGCGGGGCATCATGTACACGTGTACCTTATACGTAGGTGATCTTCAGTATAGCAAAGACCGATTCGAACATTTCAAATAGCAGCTGGTTCTCGAGTGCAAGAAGATGTGGTCTCTGGCCAGTTTTTGGGATTTCTGCCAAGCATGCATGCTGCAAGATGCAACTCAGTCATCAAGCTTCTTCCTGTGCAAACGATCGGCGTGTACTCGAGCCATGAGGAGAGAGTTCAACCCATTTTCTGAACTTGAGACCTATGGCGTTTTTGCTCCACGAAGGACCTGTGGCATTGCTCGCCTGGATGAAAGATCATCAGGGAAAAAAGAAGAAGAAATTCAGTGCACACACACGCGCGTGTGTGCGCGCACACGCACACAAGCAACAAGCAACGTATGGACGCAACAACAAGGGAGAAGATTTAGGGTACGCAGATCCGGTGGCACGTGGATCTTGTGCCATTGATCTTCGCCAAGATTCACGTATTCGGTGATGTATAGATAGAGCGAGAGGGCCGTTTTGGCTCTTGGGAGCATATGCTCCCTAATGAACAGTAAATTGAAAATAAATAGTAAATAAAATTTAAAAATTCTGAATTTTTTCGTAGGTGTTCTTGTTAGTGTAATAAAAGTGCTTGCCAATTTTCATGCGAAACGGAATGACGGTGATTCGTCGGTGGTAAAAACAAAAGTAAGTGTAACATTTGGAGCTCGACTTACCTTTTTTGCACAGATCAAAATACTTAAGCTTTCCTCCTAAAAATTTGGAGGTAGCGTTTTGGTGCGACAATGATCACATATATATTTTTTTCAAAAAAAAATTACATTTGAAAAAAAATAATTTTCGTGGACAGGAGCATATGCTCCCAAGAGCCGAATTGAATTTCCGAGTTCCTTTTTTCCTTTATGTATAATGCATTTGTATATAATAAATACATTCTATTGCCTACACCCGACAATGTAAACTTAACCTTTTCATGGATCACCATACTATCTTATGTATCCAATAAACCAACTTGGCCATAATGATACCTCGCTCATTGGCATGATGATATGCAGGAAACAAACACCATTTTCTCTGAAGATAAAGTTCAGAGTGAACTTAATACATTTTTGGAGACCAGCAAAAACTGAGATTCTCAAATAGATTTCCCCGACAGTAGTATTTGAACCTGTAGAAACAAAAGGAACAAAATCAGCACCATATTTGTTGGAACTGATTCAAGAGCAAGCAGGCCAATGCGGAACTATCTTCTTTGAAGAAAACAACTTAAGCAATTTCTACCTTCCTAAAATACCTTAACTGGGGAAATATCATAAAAGAAAAACATGCCAGGAAGACCTTGTACTCACCACTCTCGCTAATTCTCATCTATCACACATAAATCTCCACCAAGGAACATCTTCAGGGTGGGGACTTCCTTCGTGCTACGGCGAAACATGCTCATCCTCCTTCCCGTGCAGATGGAAGATCACTCGGCCCTGCACCCGCCGCCTCTCCATCCTCCTGACATCAACCCCTACACCATGCAGAAGGCCGGTCGAGGGTTAGTCATTACCTCTCCTGCTCTCCCGATGGTCGTGGATGGGGGAGGACATGGATGCGCCGCATCTAGATGGAGATGGGTGGACGAGACGCAACAGGGAAGGTGGAGGTCATGCTCTTGGCGGCAGTCTGCATGGAAGAGGAAGCGAGAGAGAGAGGCGGCGGGTCATGTGGGAGATGAAACGAGAGAAGGTCACGTATAAAGGAGATATAATTAAAGGAGATGTGATTGAGTCAATCATGATCACACCTGTGAGATTTTTAAGCTACTAATAGTTCAGTGGTTGTTACGAGTATTTGATACCCTGATTTTATCGCGCAGGGTTTACTTAGTTCTTTTAACGACCAAAAGTTTTTTTCCGTCATCGTTAATGATGGTTTCTCCAGTAGTGGAAGCAGTTGATGGATAATCCTAGTTTTTGTACTAAACATTTTTACTTAATCATTTATATTATCACTAAACTTATGGCGCCTCCTATTAATACACTCTTCAGATACTACTTTAAATGTTATTTTCAATTATAATTAATTATAACAACACAACAATCTCACCATATTACAGTGCATATTTTCATAAATTATTAAGTCAATATTATTTTATATTTTTAATTAGTTTGACATATAGGAAAAATCTTTATTATCATATTAATACATAAGCAGGTCAAATGATCAAGTTAACCGCACAAATTAGTTGATGCTCCTAGTATTCATAGTGCACTTATATGTTCGTTCTTAAATATCTATACAACTTGGTTGAGAGTGTTAGATTTATGAATCTTACAAATGATTCTGAGAGGTTTCTAGAGTATAGAACTACCTTGTTTCGGTGTGAAATAAATAATTCTCTAGTGTATGAGGTGACAACAAGTAATTTCTCCTGGAATCCCCTCTGCCACTCTCGCTTGTTGATATTGTTGATTTCTTGGTCAACATAGTTCCTTCTTCACATGCATTGCGATACTTGGTATTGAGACCACCGTGACACCGCTTGTAACACACATGCATATTTTGAATACAAACTTATTCATGTTGTAGTGTTGCTTGTTTAATTATGTATATTTTTGTACACAAGCAACTGATGTAAGATGTCTAAATTATTTACCCAACCAGCAGATACAAGCAACTTAACGCTTCTCAAATTAGCTTGGAACCGAGCTTCTAATATAGGCTGATATGACCCATATCTGAACATGTGTGGCTTGTCCCTACTGATATAAAATATCATCTAAAAATTTCCTTTGCACAAAAATTGATCCATATATCGACCGGCACCAATTTTTAGCAATATATCTCCACATATATTTGTGGAATTGATTATTTCCTTTCTAAAACATTCTACTAACAATATTATAAATTTGTGAATTCATCAAGTTACCAAATTTATGCATCTGTTTTTTTTTTTGCAAGGACACTTGTCTAACATACTTCTCTACTAGTATTACAATAAGGAATACATGCAATCTCTGGTTAATCCTCTCGAACACAACACAATCTAGCACGATATTGTTGTATCCACACACTGATTTTGGAATAATATATTATGCTACAAATGTACAAGCCAGATTGCCTCGTACGATACTGATAGGCACGCACCCGTCCGTCGATATGTGGTCGGGTGCTTGTAGATGAAGGAACCAGATAAAGAGTCCTTAGGGTGTGTCTGACGGTGTAACATCAGTCTTGTTTTATAGATCGGATCTTTGGAATCTGGGTACACCGAAACCCACTTCACAAAATTTCAAAAAATAGTATTTGTAACTTTGAAAAATTACAAAACAAAATCCAACACATATATAGGTATTGGCTAGAAATTTACACAGGTATGTTTTCATGAAATAATGTTTCCATATGTTACGTGGGGGTATATGTGAACATGCGGATGCTCCACTTTAAGTTTTGGAAGTTAAACTCTAGCATTCTCATTTTCTTATTTTCATGCATGTTTTAAATGGTCATATTATTTTACGAAATTTTTTATGCGGAAGTTTCAACTCAATACATATGTGCTTGTTTGTTTAGAAATTTTAAAACTTACCAATGCATTTTTGCCAACTTACAAAAAGTGAATACGCCAGAACCCATGATCATGCCAGTATTGTTTGTCTTCTTTTAGTGAAGATAAATAGAATAATCATGTAGAATAAAGAAAAAAATGTCTTCTTTTAACCAATCAGCATTAGTACAAGATCATTTTCCTCCATTATGGAGTAAATTGCCAAAAACCACCACAATTGCGTTGCTTTGTGCCAAAAACCACCGTTCTCACAAAAGTTTGCCAAAAACACTTGTTTTGGTAATTTCATTGCAGAAAGCACTAACTGGTCAATTGACCACGTCTTGACAGAAAACTTGACCTGTCGGGCCCACCAGTTAGGCCACGTGGCAAGGGGCAGACGACACGTTTCGGACGACCGTTAACGTCGGTCGTATTGACCTGGTTCGACCGAACCCGACCAACATCCCCCCATCTAATCTGGCTCGTGCCCTAGTTGTTCCCTACTTCTGCCGCCGCCGCCGCTGGCACCTGAGTTCACTAGCCGCCGCCCGCCGCAGCCATGGCTTCATGGAATGACGGCGAGACGAGTTCAGATTCCGTGTCGCTGCTGCCACACAAGCACGACGACGAGCCGTATGTGACTAGCGTGACCTCTCTGACTAGGGTTAGGGTTTGGGATTTGTTTTTTTTTTATTTGAGCTTTGATTTAATTTGATTTTTTGTCGTTTCCCTACTTAGCACCCAGCAACAACAGAGGATAGGGATTGGTCAGACATTGATCGTTGGGACTGGAAAGCACTTTTGCAAGCATGGCAAGTTTCCTGAGAGGCTTGTTGTGTTCGAAGGGCTCAACACTGGCCGTCGGTTTTATGGATTGCGCCGACAAGGTTAGTAGCAAACAAGATTTTTTGCATTAGGTACAATGCAATGCTCTGTAAATGCTAGAGTATGTAATTCTATGTTTAAATAATGTGTTTTGTTAAATTTCAGAATTGCAATGCTTTGTAAATGCTATAATCTGAATTGCATTACTTTGTTTTGATAAATTTCATAATTGTATTGTAGAATTGCAATTCTCTATAAATGCTATAATCT